ATCACTTCTGCCCTTATATTCCTTACCGGTAGTCATTGTTTTCACGATCCATATTAAGTCTGAGAGTTTCGTTGAAGGAAGAATACGCTATTCCACCTTCTCTAAAGTTCAAGACCTTTCTATCCGACTCGCTTCATCCATTCTACCCTCCTCTTCTTCGCCGGCCAGTTATAACATTTACCATCACCGGGCGCGTGATAGGGATTTTACGTCAGGTCACTAAGTTTTCCTCTAATGTCGGGTGCTGGATTCCACCCTTGTCATCAGCAGGGACCTCCGGTCCAAGTTCCTCTACCCTCTGCAGCCTCACCTTCTCCGAAATCTCACCCTTCTCATCATGACGTTTGTATAAAAATACTGCTAAAGTATTATTTTGTTGCGGCGTTTGTTGAACAAAAACCACTATAGATGAACCCTATTACGACATTTGTATAAAAACGCCACTAAAGTTACCATTTTGTAGCGTTTGGAATGTAAATGCTGCTATATGTTTAAAGTTAGTGGCGTTTACTCTCAAAACGCTGCTGTAGAACAGTTCTGCTGAAGTGATTATTTTATATTTGGTTATACATAAAATATTAATTTTTATATCCATTTTTCATATAATTATAATATTATTATGCGTTTAAATTCTATTTGTTAATTAAACTGATATATTTTAATTTATATTGATGAGATGTGAATATGAAGAAATATAATATATAAGGAACAAATCAATTGTTTTTGGTTTCATAGGATTTTTTGAATTTCAAACCTAGTGAGAGAAGCCTCTCTTGGTTCAAGGTGACTTTTATTTTCATTCTTCATCTCAGCTCATCTTTACCATCGCCACCTGCCGTCGTTTATCATCGCCGACCATCGTCTGTCGTATGCCGTCCGACATCCGCCGTCTGCAGTTCGCTGGCCGTCATCCGCCGCCACTTTTATTTAGGAAGAACGTCTCCTCACTCTGATTTCATTTTTGAGATTAGATTTTTGAGTAAGTCATTCATTCGGTGCAGATCTAATCGTCGTTCTTCTCTAATTTTAGCCGTCGACCGACGTCAGTTCACCGTCATACCTCCGGGCTCGTCGTACACTCGCGATCTAATCCTTTCTATCCTAGCGTTCAGACTTGCTGCCATTCCCCGTGAGTCTGTCTTTGATCGGTTCGACAAAGCAGAACAAGTCATGGTTCTGCCTAGCTGTTCTCCCGATATTTTTCATCTCTGAGGGTTTTGTTGAAGGTCAACTCGTAGTTCCTCCTTCACTTAAGACCAAGATCTGCCTGTCGGACTCTTTCCATCACTTCTGCCCTTATATTCCTTACCGGTAGTCATTGTTTTCATGATCCATATTAAGTCTGAGAGTTTCGTTGAAGGAAGAATACGCTATTCCACCTTCTCTAAAGTTCAAGACCTTCATATCCGACTCGCTTCATCCCTTCTACCCTCCTCTTCTTCGCCGGCCAGTTACAGCATTTACCATCACTGGGTGCGCGACAGGGATTTTACGTCAAGTCACTGAGTTTTCCTCTAATGTTGGGTGTTGGATTCCACCCTTGTCATCAGCAGGGACCTCCGGTCCAAGTTCCTCTGCCCTCTGCAGCCTCACCTTCTCCGCAATCTCACCCTTCTCATCATGACGAGGTTCGTACGATATTCATTATGGGTCTGCCTAAAGATGTCAAAGAGAAAGAGCTACAAAATCTACTGAGATGGCTTCCAGGTTTTGAAGCTTCGCAAGTGAGCTTCAAGGGAGAAAAACCTAAGGGTTTCGCTCTCTTCTCAAATGCAGATTTTGCAGTTGCTGCCAATGATGCACTTCAGAAAATGGTTTTTGATGATAAGTTGAAGTCCCTTTTGTACGTTGAGATGGCAAGGAAGAATCTTGTTGTTAAAAAAGGAATAGTTACAGCTTTTGATGCTTTAGAAAAGTATGGATGTGATCATGTTCCTCCTGTTCTGCCAATGCCAAATTCAGCTTCTGTAGCATCTCCTAGTCTTCATGTGACTGGTAAAAATGGGTGTTACGATGAAAAATCTGCAGCAGATGGTGTCCACGAGGGAACCAAGGAGTCCACCACAAAAGGGTACAATAATGACAAGTATGGTTGCTACACGATATTTGTTGAAAATTTACCCGAGAAGATTCATTGGAAGAGGCTTGGAGCTTTAGTTTGCTCCCACGGTCGTGTACTTGATGCTTTTATCCCAAATAAAAGGAACTCAAAAGGATTTCGCTTTGGTTTTATTCGCTTCGCATCAATCGAAGAAGCTAGGATATCGATCTCAAAAATGAATGGCTCTCGTATCGACGGCAGAAAAATTGGTATTTCTTTCACTAAATTCAAACCTCGACATTCCTATTGGAGAAAGTCCTCGACAGGTGTTCTTCGCAAGTCCGTGACGGAGGATGTTTCGAGGAAGAATCATTTTAAAGTTAAAGGTGTTATAGATGAAGAAAAACTTTAGGTGTTAAGCAATTGTCTAGTGGGGTGGTGCAAGGACTTTGTCAAAATTGGTCATCTCGCCAGACAAATGCAAACAAAGGGCCTCACTGGCTTCACCTTAATGAGAGCTGCAGGTAATGCGATTTTAATGATTTTCGAAGACAATGCTTCCTTGAGAAGTGTAAAGAACGATAAATCAAAGATTCTCGTAGAGTGGTTCTCCATAGTCGAAACTTGGTCAGAGAGTTTGGTAATGGAGTGTAGTCGAGTATGATTAGTTTGTGAGGGTGTTCCTTTTCACACATGGAATTGGGATACTTTCAAGAACATTGCTGATAAGTGGGGTTTATTACTAGCTATCGACGAAAGTTGTCAGTCTCCATCATCCTTTGATCGGGCAAAAATTTAAGTCCTTACAAAGGCTGATGCGAGAATTGATGCGATGGTGGAATTAAAGGTTGGTGACAACTTCTTCAAGGTCATGGTGCATGAGATAGAGCCTTCATTCAAACCAAACTCTTGGGCTCCTGAAGAAGAAGAGTCTCATTAGATCTTGTCTCTTCAATTGTGGTTGTTTTAGTCTATATGGTTGTAGGTGTTGCTTTTAATTTGTATTATGTTCTGTTGCGTTGTTTTATTCGTACTGTTGGTGGTGTAATTAGAAGTAAGGTGTTTAGACTGTGGCTTTGGATGAGGTTATATAAGGTTAAGGTGTTTGTTGTAATGGTGTACATCACCATGAGAGGATATTCCGTGGTGTCTTTTGTATCGGGTATTTTATCAATAAAATTTGAGGTACTTTTTTCTTCCTTCCAATGTTCGTTAACATACATTTAGTATGTAAACGAATACGAAGGGAGTTTTTAGTGAGACCTCCAACTTCTATAAAAAAAAAAAGAAATATAATATTAATTTGAAAAATTGTGATGTCAATATGAAGAGATGTAATGTCGATACAAAAGTTATGATGTATAGAAAGATATAATGTCAACAAAAATATGAGTGATGTGATCAGAATATATAAAAATGTTATTTTTTTGGGTAAATTAAAAGTTTAGTAGTTGAATTATTTTGTCTCTCTTATAATTTACTCATTATACTTTTAATTTTTTTTCAATTTATTTATTGAACTTTATATTATGAATTTTTTTGTCACCACTATATGATGATGTGGAATATTTTATTAGTTTTCACATGACCTTTCATATTTTATTAATATTTTAAGACCAAATATGATTATAATAAAAAATAAATTTAAAAATTCACAAAGTTGCACTAATGAAAGGCGTGATAACGAGGACAATGTAAAGAGTCAAGCCAGCCCCAGTGTTGACGAAGAAATGAGAGATCGGACGCACAATTAATCTGGAGCTCATAGCCTTATGATGCGCTACATACACACAGCCTTTGTTTTGTCAGAAACAATTCTCGGACCTAAATACACATATCAATGTTTATTGTACATGTCAATAACAATAAAATTACATAACTTACAATCTTTCCAATAATAATAGTTGCCATTCTTTATGCTTCATACGAACCAATAATCATGTATAATATGAGCTACATGACAATGAACACTCAACATAGTAAACATAACAAATGTGACAACACTCACCTTAATCAAAGATGTTCGATATAATTCAATTTAAAAACTCTTGAGAGCCTTTATCCTTCATCTTAGAGTGATGATCTCCACCGATTCTATTTAGTCTATGTTACACAATTAATGATAAATTCACAATCTATAATCAATTTCACAAATTTACCCAAATTTATTATAAATCTTAAATTTAGATCCAATTTAAGACTTAGATTCAACTTACTTGAAACTCGAAATTGATATCACTAATGGAAAGCTTATGAAATGTATATTTCAAATATGTATTTATCTTTCAATTATTTATTTTAATTGACACTAAAACCAAAAATATCAATTATGAATCACATATCATCATTTTTTATATTTATGCTAATGTTACTATTATTTTTAATATATTATTTTTTAGTATAATAATTGATGTTTGATCTATTGATCGACCAATTTTGATCATGTACTATAGAGGTCCATTACGAGGGCAACCATCCTGATCCAGTTTGATTCATTCACAACATCACAATTCGAATCATTGATCTTGCTTAAAAAATCATGTGTCACATATCAATAGACCAACTAACTGCTAGTATTTTTAATATGTTATATATTTATATAAACTTGAACATTTTAATAATTTTTAAAATATATTGTACACATGTTTATGTATTAATATTATTTTTTTTATATCGTGTCATATTTTAATTATTTTTACATATATTATTATTATATCTTAATTTATTTCATATTTTATATAAATTATCATAATAATTTAATTTATTAACTAAATAATAGATTAAAATTTATAATCAAATGTATGATATATTGATAAAAGATATATTTTAAATTTAATTAAAAATAAATTACGAGTTCGATTTTAATATAATTACTGAATTTCGAAAAGTCATAAAGAAAAATCCGAAAATTAAGCAGATAGGCAAGCAACAGTCGCAGGACGTCCCCCAACATCCATATCTTCTCCCTTGACCTAAAGCAAAAAACCAAGGTCGAAAGAGAATATCTACCCTAAATAGCCTGAAAACTCGGGGTCTTGTCATTGTCACTCTTAAGTAACGCAGCCCCCAATCCAACCATCCGTCGGTTCCAGTCCTCAAATCCAAGTCCCTTTGCTTTACCTATCCTTGTTTTTGGTTTCTTTCTTTTGGTTGGAGCATAGAGTTTTAGAGAGGGGTAAAAATGGTGAACCCAAGGTGTTATTTGGACATAAGTATAGGAGGAGAAGTAGAAGGAAGGCTAGTAGTGGAGTTATACAAGGATGTTGTGCCCAAAACTGCTGAAAATTTCAGGGCTTTGTGTACTGGTGAGAAAGGCATTGGACCCAACACTGCTGCTCCCCTGCATTATAAGGTTCGTCCTTTCTTTCTCTTTCACCTATGCATAAAATAACAATTTTTATATGTAAATGCATTCAAGTATTTCTTGGTTAGCCGTTTTACTCTGTTTCTTCTTCTTCATGGAATGTTAAATTGGTGTTAACATCTTTTTATTTTCTAGTGATTACATGTTTTGTTTCACATTGTGTGTTATGTGATATTGTGATTTAATATTGCATATTCAAAAGCAACATATGTGTAGCTTCCATGTGTATGGTATGAATTCATCATAATTTTACAGGGTGTTCGATTTCACCAAGTTATCAGGGGTTTTATGATACAAGGTGGGGATATATCAGCTGGTGATGGAACTGGTGGAGAATCCATTTATGGCTTGAAATTCGAGGATGAGAACTTTGAGTTAAAACATGAACGGAAAGGAATGTTATCAATGGCTAACACGGGGCCTAACACCAATGGATCTCAATTCTTTATCACTACTAATCGAACCACTTGTCTAGATGGAAAGAATGTGGTTTTTGGGAAGATTATCAAAGGAATGGGTGTTCTTCGTTCTATTGACCATGTTGCTACCGAGGATGGTACTAATTACCCCACTCAAGAGGTTATAATTGCTGATTGTGGAGAAATTCCTGAAGGGGCAGATGACGGCATATCTAACTTCTTTAAGGATGGTGATGTTTATCCTGATTGGCCAGCTGACCTTGACAAAAAACCAGATGAGTTTTCTTGGTGGATGGAGGCAGTAGACTCTATCAAAGCTTTCGGAAATGAGCAATTCAAGGTATTCGATGTAATTATACGGTTTTCCACTGTATAGTTAACGTGTTTCTGATTATGAATGCTTAATGATGGTATACTTTTTGGACATCTTTTGTTTGGAACTTTGATATTGTTTTGCCTCTTATAGAAACAAGATTATAAGATAGCTCTTAGAAAATATTGTAAGGCTTTGCGTTACTCTGATGTTTGCTGGGAGCTGAAGGGCATTGATGGAGGTGCATAATTTAGTTCCCCTCATATATGACCGAGATGTTATTACTACAAATGACATGAATCTCATGCTTTTTCTTTTCATCTCTAATTTATCATTGCTTAGGGAGATGCTCGGCTTTGCGGAAGACCAAGTCTCAGATATATACGAATTGTTCTGTAAGATTTTGACTTCCTTGAAAATGTTAGGTCATAGAAACTGCATGTTCAACCAAGTCTCAGATATTCACCAAGTTGTCTGTTTCAGGCCTGCAAGTTGAAACTTGGTGACTTAAAAGGGGCATTGTTGGATGCGGACTTTGCAATTCGTGACGGTGAAGATAATGTGAAAGCTTTCTTTCGGCAAGGCCAGGTCAGTGCTTACTATCTGCATGACATTCAAAGTCAAGTTTATTCATTCCTTGACATTGCATGTTTTTGTTTTCACCTATTTCAGGCATATATGGCACTTAAGGACATAGATGCTGCAGTTGAGAGCTTTAAAAAGGCATTGGACTTGGACCCAAATAATGGTCAGTGCAATCTCGTTTCTTATGGAATGGAAGCTATCATTTAGCAATTTTTTCTAGCATATGTAACCCTCTTTGATGCCCCTTTGCTGCTACCTCCCGTCTCTCTCTTTCATTCTCTTCCATATTACTGCTACGAGGATCGAAAGGAGGTTGATATGCTTGCTACATTTGGTTTATGTAATTGGGCCTCATGGCCTAAACTCCATATGGTCTTCAAGCTGATTTTCTTTTCTTAATAAGTTTTCGCGATTGTCCTTGGTGTTAGTTCATCAACTTTGTTCAATTACATACTTTTAGTAGAACTCTGTGATCATATACTGTATTTTCCACCCTTCAGGTGGAATAAAGAAAGAGTTTGCAGCAGCAAGGAAGAAGGTTAATAATCGTCACCGTTTCCTTTATCGAACATGTTAAATGTTTAATGCTTTTCCCCCTTCATTTCCTTTAATTTGTAAAACTACTGCAGATTGCTGATCGAAGAGACCGAGAGAAACAGGCATACTCTAGAATGTTTCAATAGATCTTTTGCAAAAACTATATAGAGTTTTTTCTGTTTATAGTTTGTTTGGCTTGAGGGAAAAATCAGGTATGCATTTTTGTTCAACTTTTGCTATGGATTGTGACTTGTGAGCATGCTTTTCGACTCGAACGTCTTATCGGTTTTATTTCACCATGCAGGCTTCGGCTTCAGCCAAAACTTTCCAGATCTCTGTTAAGTTGGAATTTGGGTAGTTACTTTCCTACTCTTCATTTTTAGTGAAACAGATTGACATTTTATTCCTACTAGAACCTTTATTTTAGTTTTACATGTTTGTTTGAGCTTGTCCGAACTATCATTTTATAGACACAAGACAATTATTTGATATAAGTACCCATGTTGGATACATACACATATTTGACACACAATCAAGTCTTATAATTCACTCTTAAGATTCTTTTTTCTCTCTCAATAATTTGTAGGATCAAGAACAACAGTACAACTCCAACTTATTGAATCACACAATCAAATGAAGATCTAAACTGAACTTACGTTTATTTGACACACTAACATATTAAAAAAAGGGAAATGCCTTCAAAAGCGTTGGAACAAAGCATTACATAAAAACAAACCCCATTTAAGAAGCAAGCCTAAGCTTTCTTCAGCCTCTTAGCGAAGATGACAAGGGTTTCTTCATTGGTGGACTCTCCTTCAACTTCTTCATTGGAATCGGGCAACAATACTAAAGTCAACCATGTCGTAGGTTCCACAGCCAATAGATCCAACCAATGGACTACTATTGAAATTGTGAAAGAACCACTGGATCAATCCCCATTTGGAGACCATATCTGCATTATATTTCTCTTCAAACTTGGGTGCATATGTGCCAAGTGACAGCACTAGCATCCTCCTGCAATCATCCATCGTTTCAGTCTCTGGTATCCCACTCTTTTGTACATTGTTGGAATATTAGGTAGATAGTAAGTAACCCTAATATGAACTATAAGATAGCAACCAAGAGGGTTACGAGGTATCTTCATATAACAAAAGACTACATACTTTCTTATAAGAAATTAGATTATTTAGAGGTCGTAAGGTATTTTGATTCTGATTGTACTAGGTGCGAAGATAGTAAAAAAATCTACATCAGACTATATTTACAAGATATCTAGAGGAACTATATCCTAGAAAAGTGTCAAACAAACATCGGTAACTTCTTTCACTATGACAACGTAATTAGTAGCAAGTTATAAGGTATCACACCATGAAATGTGTCTGGGGAATTTTTTCACTGAACTTAGTATTTTGGAGAAGGTAGAAAGATCATTTACATTATTTTATAACAATAAGCCAAAAATATTGTATTTCAACAACAATAGGCGCTTGGTGAACAATTTTGTGATTTTTTTTGAACTGTTCTTATATCGTTCGCTTGTGTTTGTTTGCTAAGTTAAATAAACAAGTATAAATGTTCATTTAATAAATGAATGAATACGAACAGAGGTGTTTTCGGTTCGTTTATGTTCACAAACATGCTCATTTATCGACTCGTATATTTATGTTAATGAAAAATCCGTTTACTTTTTTTACATTTTAAATATTGATGAATCTAGGGACTAAATTAAATACATGGTGAAATTTGGAGTTTAAAATATAAATGTGTTCGTGAACGTATAAAACAATATGTTTAACTAAATAAAGAACACCAATACAATATCACTAACCGAACATAAACACTTTACGTGATTCCATCCATAGATTGGGCCACCCACGTGTACGTATTTAATACTTGACCAAGTTGTGTATTTAGGTGAGCAGTCTGGGACGAACTTGTAATGTGACCAAATTTAAAAATTAGACGTCGCCTGAGAGATTCGAACTCTCGCGGGAAAATCCCATGTACTTAGCAGGCACACGCCTTAACCACTCGGCCAAAGCGACGTTTGTGCAATCAATTTAAACTGTTATTATACAATTATGAGTAGCTTTTACTCGTAGATGTCATTAAGTTGATCAGGTCACATGTACATTGGATTTAGCATATTCGAGTTTAATCAATAGAATGTTTTCAACTTATATCAGTATTAAAATCATTCTATTTAGGCCCCTTTCTCTGATAAAAACAAGTTCAATCATCATGCTCAACTTTAAACTTTATTTGTGATTAAATTTAATTCTAAATTTAAAACTTTAATATTTTCGTTAAAATTATGTTTTAGATTCAAAAATATTTTAATCTTAAAAAAGTGGCTCCAATATAAAATTAAGAATTGAATAACTTAAGCACAAAAAGCGATCTTGATGAATTGAGAAACATACACACCCTAGGGATATTCATGAAGGCTTCAAATTTGCAAACCAATATAGAAGTGCTCACACATTTGATATTTAGGTCATCCCATTTTTTCCTCAATGTGCTTATTCATTTTTCTTGTTAAAATTACTATTCATGACCCTTCTATTTTAAGCTTTTTTTTAAGATAACCACATTTTTATCTCATTTTCTATTTTTCATGTATCATTGTTATTATTTGTTTTTAGACTAGTAAATAGATTAATTTTAGGTATATTGGGAATTCTCTAGCTTTTTACACCCATAATCGATTCTCCAACCAGATTTTAGTTCTAATGTTAGACACATGCCAAATTTGAAAGTATTCAATCTCACATAATTCAAAACCACTAATGATAATTCTATCTTTTGACAAACTTTTCGAATGCTCAAGATATTTTCTAAATCACCGCAAAATCATTCCGATGGTATGGAAGAGTTGTCTTGCTTATTGCGAGATGCAAACATCCTTATTTTTTATAGGTGAATTATGCATGAGGCCACCACCCTCGAGTTGATTGAGAAGTTTGAAGCTTGTAAGGGCTAACGAGTAAATTTCACGAAGTCCAAACTATTCTTTAGTGTAAATACTACTCTTGGTGTGCAAGTATCCATTTCGACCTTGTATCGTGTGTAGCCTGTGGATAACCTGGAGCGTTACCTTGGTTTCCCATCAGTTGCTGGTTGAAGTCGTAACACTTTTCGGTTTCTGAAAGAAGGAATACTCGTTCGTACCAGTCGTGCCAATGTCCATCATCTCCCACAAGGTGGGAAATGGGTCCTTATCAAGTCCATTCTCCAAGATTTATTGACATATCAGATGAGTGTCTTCACTTTACTTGTCATGATTTACGGACTGTTGGTTCGAATTTAAGGTTTAGGGTTTAATCACTCGAAGTTGGAGGTTCATCGTTTTGTGATAAATTATTTTAGTATGTAATTGATAACCAAACTCTTTTAAACACTCAAATTGTAAACATCATGTATTGAGGATAACAAGACGTAGGACATATAAGGAAAACGGAGTTATGAGTGGGTATAATAGAATGTGGATACGGAGGGACGAAGGTCAATCTCCTGGCTCCAACCGCTCCGGTTCTGAACATGCAAGTGCCAGTAGGTTCGAGCTATTGCGTCCAGGTCCATCATTGGCACGGTTTCATCATCCCCTCTCTGGGATGCCAATGCCCCCCTGCATTTCCATTTTAACTCTTCCTTAATTCATCACATTTTCCCACTAATTCTACGTCGCATTTTATCTTAACTGCTCACCCTTTTCATTTTCACATTTTCAAACACATCTCCTAAAAATATGAATATCAAATACGGATTTGTTTAATCTTTTTAATTATTTGTTTGATGTTTATAAACGGATATTTATGTTAAGTACAAGGCGAATTCACTAAACTATTAACTTAATTCTGTTTTGACCACAAAATTAAAAATTTTAATTTTTATGAATATTAGACTTTATTCGGTTGTTAGACATGTGTACGCTCCTTATGACACCCTAAATACAAAAGTTTTGAAGTGTAAAGGAAATAAAAGGTGCAACTAAGTGACATTGATTGTACCTGGATTGATCAATGATAATATGAGCAACATGAACACCAAGAGACTGGAACTCCATCGACAGGCATTGAGATATATTTTAATGGCTGAAAAAAAAACTACATAGTTCAGAGAAACCAGCGATGCCATGGAGCGAAGTCGACCGACCAGTGAAAATAATCGTTCCCCTTCGCCTTTCCACCATCCCAGGAAGCACCTTCCATTGATTGGATCCAGTGAAAAAAAATTTGTTAGTTACTTTATTTTTGTGGGATTCGAGTTTTAGACACGGATTCTTGTTTCTGGAAACTGTTGTTAAGTAATTAATAATTTCGAAAGCTTGTTAAGGTGGTATCAGTGGTTGCCAATTACACCATACCCGGAAATTTTGTATATGAACAGAGAAAACCCTAACTGTTATGCATGCATGCCTGTAACACTGAGCAAATAAGACATTGGCACATATTTTCATTGAATATTTTTTAATTCCAGCGCACTTGCTGCTCATGGTTCAAGAGTTCAAAAGAAAATTAGAGAGGATGAAACTAAGGAGATAGATAGGGTTGTGACATAATTTTAATTAAAATATAATAAATTGATGTGGTTTCAATCATAAAAGAGGATGTTGTCTCTATACATCATAGGTTTAAGCAATTATTTACAAGATGCGTGTATTGTCAATAGATTAAGAAAATTTTAAATATAATATTATATTGTTATCATCATAGACTATTCAAAAAATATTAAATTAAAATTTATTTAAAATTTAATATTTTGTAATATGTTGAGTTATTCAACCATTAATTTTTAGTTAATCGATAACATAATAATCAAAAGTTGAGTGATTAAGATAAAATAAAAGTGAACCATATATTAAATATCTGAAATCTGCTAACCATTGCTTTATGTTGCATTTAATGGGCGTTGATGAATCCGGGGAAGCTGAAGAATTAGTAAATTGCCGACAGCAGCCCCACCACCGCAGCTCAGAAAACCATTCATTTTATTTTAGAATGGGGTTCCTCTAAGGTATCCAAGAAGCCCCAACCTATAACCGATGCTAGCTACCTGCTACTATATAAAATTTAATTTTTACATATTAAATCTTTTTATTTAAAAATCTCTCTTTGTGTCCACTTTTCCCATTAAGGGTATTAGCGTTGTAATTATAAAAAAGCAAAATATTTTTTACTTTTATCAATTTAGCCCTTGTTTTTTAAATATACCTAAAAAATTAAAAAGATTTAAAATTTATCATATTCTCAGAGAATTTCACCAGGCTAGGGAAACCCCCCACTCATTTCCATTACAATATACCTGTTCCACCATTACTGTTCTTTATGAGAGATGTCTTATTCCATTGGATTGAATTCTTTACTGAAGGCAAACGCCGCTTTTCTATAGGATGATGTTCAACTTCACTGAGGAACAAAATC